ATGACTTAATTTTCCTATGACCAGAAAAATATTTTCAGTTGACTTATTTTCCTGAACGCCCTAAACAGCGAAAAATTGTAAAAAATATTTTTCTATAAGTCAATTTATGGAAACAAACGGAGCCTAAGTGTAAAATATTTATTTGTTTTATATGAGGAATTGGAAGGTTTTACTTATTCTGTTCTTGATGTTCTTAATATATTAATTTCTGTTTTCCGAATAAAATATCAAGCCTTAATCATCAGATAACAAGTAATGAAAATAACAAAACTTAATACCAACACGATCTATATCTATATAAATATATAAAAGCTAAGGCACAAAAGTTTATATGGCACAATTCTAGAATATTGAAATGCTTATGTGACAAATGTTAATTTATTGAATTGAAAATAATTTTTATATTTTTAAAAATTATTTTTAATATAATTAATAGAGAAATTAATTAATATCATTAATAATATTTTCAGTTTTTATTAATATCATTAATAATATTTTCAGTTTTTAAATAATTAATTAAATTAATAATATCATTAGTATTTTAAAAAAGTTTCACTTTTTTTCTAAAATAATGAACAATATCATTAATATTTATTCTATCCATTTTTCCCATTGTTACGAATTTTTATAGTCATCTATCTTAATATAAATAAAACCTTAAAAAAAAATCAATCATACTTTCAACAAAAAGAAATGAGTCTTTCGTAAACAATATAAGACTATTTTCATGGTATTTTGTTGATGTGAGCTTGATTAATATAATTTTCACAGTTTATATTTAGTTTTCAATTATCAACTAAAGTATGAATTTGTGATTTGTAATAAATTATTCTATAGCTATTAGAATATCTAATCCATATAAAAAGATTTTATTTAATTACTATAATTAAGTGTTTATTTTTGTTCAGCACGATGCCACCTAAATCATAGAATTTATTTTTTGCTGTGCTTTTTTTAATGAAATTAAAATTAAAATTTATTTTCTAATGTCATTATTTGTGAAATAGAGAAATATTTAACGGCAAAATTAATATTAATATTTTATTTTGTGAAGAGAGATGACAATACTTTTTGACCTATTCTAAATCAAGGCAAACTTCGATAAAATTTTTTTAAAAATTTTTAATGTTTATTGGATTTATGCCTGAATTCTAGATTATTTATTCAAAATGAATGTAATAATTGGTATTTAAACGATTATTTTAAATCTATTAGAATATTTATAAAAATTAGAAATTTTAAACTTAATTATAAACTTGATTTATGTATGTATGTGTCTATATATATTGATCATTTTGCAAGAATTTGGGAAAAAATTTATTTTTCATTTTATTTTTTTGTATATAAGTATAATATATTGGCTACTTGAATTCTTGAAAAAATTATTAATTATAATAAAAATAACATTTTTATTTTTAAACATTATACAGCATTTGCACACGAAGCGCGAGAAGACGACTAGTAAATATATAATTTCTGAGGCCTAAATGCTTCTGTGACAAAATGTTACAATATGAAAGTGATGATATGACAATTTATTTTTTCATTATAATTAATATCATTTATATTTAAATAAAAATTAAATGTTCTTTATTAAATAATGGAGTTACAGTAGAGTCATAGTTAATATATAATTTTTATTTAAAATTATAATTAATAAGATTTCATTATAATTAATATAATTAATAAATATAAAGTTTTTCATTAAATAATTTTTATTCTTATAAAAAAATTAATGGAGTTATAATAGAGATTAATGGGAGTTTATAATAGAGTCATAGATTAATAAAAATAATTAATAAAAATTAATTAAATAATATAATTATAATAACAAATAGAATTAAATTATTAATTTCAATTCACTAAAATTTATTTCATTAAAATTTTTTTTTGAATCTTAAAATTTTATTAATAAACTACCAGGAAAAACTTAACAAAAAGATCTACTTCAACTCGGACCAATAGGTCCCCCATACATCCAATCTAGAATCTCAATGCTAAGTGAAAAAATCTGCAAATGAGTAACATCATAAACTAAAACATCCGTATTAAAATATGAAGGATCCCTCCAAATGGTAGGACAAGCAAAAGAGATAGCAGCTCGAGCTAAGGAGTGGGCCACCATAATAGCTTGCCAACGAATCCACTTGGCTTTAAAACCATTTCCTTCACTCAACAAAAGTTGGCATTCCCAAATTATATTATTGATTTCATTAAGATTAAATATTCTTATACTTCATTTAATATGAGAATTTCAAAGAAAAAATAAATAATTAACTAAATATATCAATTGAAAAATAATAATTTACTTACAATAAATAATTGTGCTAATTAATATTTCAGTTCAATATTTGAAAATTAAAAAAATACATATAATTTTACCCTCCATCATTTAATCAAAAGTACATAAATAAATTATTTTAAAACAATATAAATATAAATTAAAATAATTTTTTTGAAAATTATACTCAATTTAATTAAGAAAAAAAAAAATACAATCTGCCCATAGCGCTGGTTCAGGACTAATTTTTAATCAATTCCTTGAGACAAATGAAACTAAACTTAAGAAAATAAACCAAAACGAAATTAAAATAAAATATAAAGATGCAAGAAGAAAAACTAACCTGAAAGGGTTTTCCCTCTCTCAGAATGTCGTGAGAGGCTTGTCCCCCTTCTGTGGGGCCTGATTCTATTCAACCTTTTCTTTTCTTTTCTTTTCTCTTCTTTCATCTTAATTTTCAACTTCGAAGAATGTATGAGAGAGACATCGTACAAAGTAAGTAGTTGGGTACAAAAAACATTATAAAAATAATAAATCTCTCCTCCTTTTTATTTGGTATGGACATGATTGAATTGTTACTCATGGGCCAATCACAACAAGACTTACAAACATTTTGTAGGGCCTTAGAGCCCATGGGATCAAGAAATAATTAATCAGTCTGTTTAGAAATATAAGTCAGTTTATTATTTTGTTTTAAAATATAAATTATTATGTATATTTATATTTAAAAATAATAAATTATATTTTTTCAATATCATTCTTATTTACATTAAATATAATAAATAAAATAATTATTAATTTTAAAATAAAAATTAATTTAATCAAATTATTTTTAAATTTATTATAATTTAAAATATTAATTGCTTCTTTAATTGTTTTTGCACTTTCGACAAAGGGGGTAATTATTACTTATGGCAAGATTCAGAACTTCAGACGTTTTGGTCGCAAGAGGGTAGGCATGGCCATATTGCGGTTCCGGGAACCGGAACCGTCGGTTCGAACCGGCCCGGAACCGCAACGGGAACCGAACCGTCGGGTTTTCGAACCGGTGCCCGGAACCGCAACCGGAACCGGTTTGAGAACTGGAACCGGATGAACCGGGAACCGGAACCGGAGAAAATTCCGGTTCGGTTCCGGTTCCAGCAAATGTGGAACCAGAACCGGCGGTTCCATTAGAACCGGTCGGAACCCGGAATGGAAACCGCCGGGGTTCTCCGGCCAGTTTAGAACCGCCGGCTTCGAAACCGGCGGCTTCTAGCCGTTGTTAACTTGTCAGAATTTTGTTTTTTTTTTTTTTTTTTTTTTTAAATTTGTTGTTAAATGTCTAATTAACCCCTCCCAAACTGGTCATAAACGGCCTACAGTAACGGCTTAGTTTGAAGGGGTTTTTTGGAAAATGAATTTTTGGATTTATTATAAATACCGTCATTTTATTTAACAAATCATTTACAAAAAAATCTCAACTCGTCTCTACTTACTCTCTCTACAATATACTACCACTCTCTCATTTCTTCTCTACAATATACTACCATCTACTCTTATTATTCAATATTTTTCTCTACTTCAACATTTATCTCCTTATTAAGGTAATCTATTCTCTCTAATTTTTTTTATTCAATTTCCAAATTATATTTATTATCATATAATGGCAAGCAAGTGGAGGAAACTCAAATTCGGGTAAGGGCAAGGGAAAAATTGGAGAATCATCTATCCCTACAAACGACATCTATGATATGATTCCCGACCAATGTAATTTTGAGGGTTTTCCAAATGAAAATTTGGATATTCCAACTCAAGAATCCGAATTTAATGAGTTTAATGAGCAATTTCAAGAAGATGAAGAGCAAGAGCAAGAGCAACGAGCAAAAATTGTTACAAGAGTAAGACAAAGTTCCGACATATTCTCCATTTATTTCACAAGAAAATTCAAAGGTGAGAAAATGTACGATATAATTTGCAATTATTGTGGAAAATCTTATAAATTTAAATAAGCGGACGGCTATGGATCATTTTGGAAGCATTTGGAGGCAAAACATCCAACAAAAATAGTAGTTGATCGGTCTCAACAACAAATTTCCGGGTACGCTTCTAACCTTTCTTTATTTAAATATTCTGAAAAAATATAAAAAGAAGAATTAGCAAAAATGATTATTAGCAAAAATGATTTCTATGGAAGGGTTTGAAAAGTAGGTTTTAATATTGATTGTCAAAAACTTCTATAAATCCTCTGTGCCTAAAAGCAGTACCAAGAAATAACCCAGTAAAACGAACGTATTATTTCTTGTTAATAAAGGAAAAAAAGAGATTTAGAGCTTTTATTTTCTCAATTGAAAATGTGTTTTTCAATTTGTTGTGTATGTTTGGAGTGATCGATTGGCAATGCCGATTCTATATGACGAGTATTAATGCATTGGATGGATGATGATCTGGAACGTCAGGTTTTGTAACTCGGTCGGAACGGCAACCGGAACCGGAACGGCGGACGGTTCCAAACCGGAACCGGAAGCCGGCCAATTTCGGACCGGAACCGGCCAATTTCGGTTCGGTTCCGGTTCCAGCTTTTCTGGAACCGGAACCGCCGGTTCCGGAACCGTGGCCATGCCTACAAGAGGGAATCATTTACAATACGTTATCAATTTACAGTTATCGAGAGCACATGCGTTAATAGACAAGTACGTTAGTTTAAAATTATTATTATTCTTTACAGAGTAAGTGCGTTAGAAAAACACAACTTGTGGAGTGAGCTGCGAAGAATATTCCAAAGCTGAGAGACTGCGTTCCATTTTATATGGCTGCCATTGCCGTAGTCTCTTCATTCTTGGATTCTCTCTTGCAAATCGTTCTCTTCAAAACTTTTTTCTACAATGAACACTGCAAAAAAAGCCGCCCAGCTTCTTTCATCTCACAATATCGGAGCTCTTTTCGATTCCGTCGAGGCCTTTCTCTTCGATTGCGATGGTACTTCTGATCTTTAGATTCCCTTTATTTCTTATTCTTATTATTGTTTTAGTTTTGAAGTAACCAATTTTAATTTTATAATTTTGTAAATTTAGGTGTAATTTGGAAAGGCGATAAGCTCATTGACGGCGTTTCTCAGACACTTGAACTGCTTCGCTCTAAGGCATCTTGCAGTCTTTCACTTCTCTCTCTTGTTTGATTTGTAAATCTTTATTTTCATTAATGGAAATGGATGGATGTGTTGGATAATTCAGGGGAAGAAATTGGTTTTCGTGACCAACAATTCCATGAAATCAAGAAGGCAATACGCGAAGAAGTTCTCTTCCCTTGGAATTTCAGTTACTGAGGTTTGTTTTGGTAGTATTTCAATTTTTTTTAATGTTACTGAAGTTCTCTTCTCCTAAATGTGGGTTTTGTTTTCAAATGGTTGTAGGATGAGATATTCTCCTCATCTTTTGCAGCTGCTATGTACTTGAAGGTCAATAATTTTCCTATAGAAAAGAAGGTTGGTGTTACTCTACACTTACCCCTTTGCGTACTTTTAATTTATTAGATTAATTCTTTGAATTCTTGTTGCAATGTTGCAATGTTGCAATTTTTGGAAGCTTGTTCTTGTTACAATGTTGTCTAATGTGTTGGTTAATTAAGATAATTAAGAAACCAAAAAGACAGAAGAGAAAGTGGAGCTGTGTGTTTGTACTTTCAATGAAGAAGAGAACAGAGCCTTTTATAGGCATTACATAACAACTGAACAGAAAAGTAGCCTACTCCAACTAATCTATAGGAGATAATCTTTTATTTGCCACTACTCAGGAACTAAAGGCTCCACTAACTTAATTTTGAATCAAATCTTAACATGCCCTCTTGATTCAAAATCACAGATGCCCAATTGCTGTCCAAAATATTTTAAAAACATGCCCTCTTGATTTCAAATCACCAGGATGCCCAATTTGCTTCCAAATAAACATTGTTCACGCTGAGACGAGATTTAGTAAATAAGTCTGACTTGATTTCATTTGTACACAAAATTCCAACTCTATTTCTCCATGTGCTAGCCAACTTCGAAAATGAAATGGCTGCCGAGTTCAATGTGCTTTGTTCTGATGTGGAAAAGCTGGCTTCTTTGCCATTGCTTTGTGCGTTTTTGTCACAATTTAGATTTTTTTGTTGTCACAATAGATTTTAGTTGCTGCCACTTGCTCTTGGCCCAAATCAACCAAAACTCGCCTAAGCCACTCTGCTTGACATGCTGCAGAAGTTGCAGCAATATACTCTGCTTCCGAAGACGACAGAGCAATAGTATCCTGCTTCTTTGAGCTCCATGAAACGGCACCTGAACCAAGACTGAAATTGTAACCTGAGGTACTTCTATCATCATCCAAAGAGCCAGCCCAATTACTATCAGTATAGCCAAATAATCTGAAATTTGATACTGTGGTGTAACAAATTCTAAATTCAACAGTTCCAGCAACATATCGCAAGACCCTTTTTGCAGCTCCAAAGATGGTGCTTTGTTGGACTATGCATAAATCTGGACAAGACACTAACAGAAAATGCGATGTCAGGTCGTGTATGAGACAAATAATTCAGTCCACCAATCATTCTCCGAAAAAAAGTTGCATCAGCCTTCTCTGTCCCATCTTCAGCTTGTAATTTTTCATTTAAATTCAATGGAGTTGAAGCCACATTGCAATTTACCATGCTGAATTTTTTTAGCAAATCACTTGCATATTTTTATTGTCCCACAAAAACTCCATCTGCACATTGTTTCACCTCAAGTCCAAGAAAATATTGCAATAATCCCAAATCTGTCATCTCAAATCTTCTCATCATAGAAGATTTAAAGTCAGCAATAAGACATTCATTGGACCCAAAATAAATCATGTCATCAACGTAAACACAAACAACAAGACAACAAGAAATCCAGCTTTGATTCTTTTATTCAAATATAACAGTTGGGCTCATTTCATTCTAAGCAAAACCATTTCTTCACAAAAGGTAGTCTGTCACCAATGCCGCGGGTGCTTGCTAAGGCCATAGAGAGGCTTTTCTTCAATCTGGAACTTATATCCTCATGATCTTTCAACAAAGCCTTTAGGTTGAGAACATAAACGTTCTTCCTCCAAATCTCCATTTAAAAATTCGCAGACTTCACATGCCAAATGAAAAACAGGAGAGAGGATTAATTGAGCGCTACAGAAGCAATAATTTTACATTTTCAGATGAGCAGCAACTGGTGAGAATGTTTCCTCGAAGTCTATACCTCGTTGTTGGGCATACCCCTTCGCTACAAGCCGTGCTTTATGCTTTTGCACACTCCCATCAGCATGGTACTTGGTTCTAAAAACCCATTTGAGCCCGATAGCATTCTTCCCTGTAGGCAATTTTACCAATTCCCAGGTCTGATTTTTCTGAATTGAAGCCATCTCTTCACAATTTTACCAATTCCCAGGTCTGATTTTTCTGAATTGAAGCCATCTCTTCATTCATAGCATTTTTCCATTCTTCCATTGTTGCTGCCTCCTCATAGAATATTGGATTTGAAACATTCAAAGCAAAAGAACAGGTTTCATATATTTTTCTCAAGGATCAGGTCTTCCTTGGAGGAGTTTCAATCAATGAGGAAGAGCTTGAGCTGATTGGACTGGAAGAATTTGAGTTGTTTGGACTTGATGAGTTGCTACTAGCTGAATTTGATGATAAAAAAATCAGCAACATCATTTGATGGTGAAAAATCAGCAACATCATTCTCTAAAAAAGGAGCTTGGTCTAAATTCTTAGCATTTCTCCAATCCCATTCTGCATCTTCATTAAAAACCATATTTCTGCTAACAATAATTTTGCCACTTAAAGGATTATATAGCCTATATGCCTTAGATTGAGAACAATAGCTAACAAAAATGCATTTTTCAGACTTTTCACCAAGTTTGTCGCGAGATTGAGAATTAATTAAAGCATAGGCTATACAACCAAAAATTTTTAAGTGACTTACATGTGGTTTTCTGCCTCTCCAAGCTTCATACGGTGTTTTATTCATGACAGTCCTTGTTGGCGAAATATTCAAAAGATACACCGCGGTTGCAACGGCTTCAGCCCAGAAAGAATTCAGAAGACCCTTGGCTTTGAGCAAGCTTCTAGCCATCTCCACAACAGTCCGATTCTTTCTCTCGACAATACCATTCTGCTCCGGTGTGTATGGTGCAGTGAGCTCCCTGTGAATGCCATATTCTTCACAAAAAAATATTAAATTCAATAGAATTAAATTCACCACCTCTGTCCGTCTGGAGACATTTGATATGGTTGTCCAGCTGCTTTTCTACCAAGCTTTTCAATTTCTTGAATGTAACAAGAGCTTCAGATTTACACTTCAAGAAATAAACCCAATTCATACGGCTATAGTCATCAATCAACAATAAAAATATCGATTACCACCAAATGATTTAGTTTGCATGGGTCCACACAAATCCGCATGTATCAATTCAAGACAACTACCAGCCCTCCATGATTTTCCTACGGGAAATGATTTCTTACTTTGTTTGCCCAAAACGCATCCTTCGCAGAACTCAACAGATTCAACCTTGGGTAACCCATTAACCATATTTTGCTGACTCAAAAACTTCAACCCTCTTTCATGTAAATGCCCATAACGCAAATGCCACAAATTAGATTCACCAATTTTACTAAAAGCAAGAGCAGTGTTTTTCCATGGAAGCATCTAGTGGAAACATTTTGTTTTGAGTTAGTGGAAACATTTTGTTTTGAGTCATTGGAACATTAAAAATGGTATGACCAGTTTTCTTATCTTCAATACAACATGAGTTATCATCAAACACAATTCTATACCCACTAATCATCAATTGCCCAATACTTAACAAATTATAAGTCAAGCTAGGAGCAAATTGCACGTCATTTAAAAGTTTAGTATTACCATGGCGAGTATTGATGGCAATTGTACCTTTCCCTTCCACTTGAATCACCTAATCATCACCCAGCTGGACTGTTGTTTTTACTTTCTCATCAAGCTCTTTAAATAATTGCTTTGTTCCTGACATGTGATTAGAGCACCCACTATCCAAGAAACAAACAGCATTTGTAGCATTTTTATCAAAAGAATGAGCCATGAAAAGCATACTCTCTTCTTCTTCAGCAACATTGGCATGCTTTCCTTCATTTTTTTGCTTTCCTTCATTCCTTTGCTTGGTCCAGCAATCAGCTTCTTTGTGGCCGACTTTATCACAGTAATAACATTTGATTAAATTATTTTTGTAATTTTGTATTGCGTTCCTATTCTCCAGATAACATTTGATTAAATTATTTTTGTATTGCCGTTATTCTCCAGAACGTCCTCTTCCACGGCTGCCGCCGCGACCTCGGCCATGATAACCACCGCGAAAATTGCCTCTATTTGAAACTTTGTCATTTGATTTACTATGAGAGGACTCTCCTTTCACTTGAAAAGCTTTTTCTTCAATTCTTGTTGATGATTTATTTATCCTGCCTTCATGAGCTTGCAAATCATCAAAAGAATAAGCAGATAAATCTTTCGACTCCTCTATTGCAGCAACCACACGATCAAATTTAGGAGATAGACTTCTCAATAATTTTAAAACCACAGTCTCATCAATAATTTTTTCACCATATGCTCTCATTTGAGAGATAATTTTAGAAGCCCTTGATAAATATGCTTGAACAGATTCAGAATCGCCCATTTGAAGTGTTTCAGATGTTCTACGAAGAGATTGGAGTTTTACAGTGATTACTTTTGAGCAGCCTTGAAATTCATTTTTCAGAATCTGCCATGCTTCCTTAGAGGTGGCTGCTGCTGAAATATGAGAGAAAATCTCATCCGATACAGCTTGTTGAAGGAAGAACAGGGCCTTTGCATCCTTCTTTTTATTTTCTCGAAGCTTTTGCTCATCATCTTGGTCTTCACACCCATTCTCAACTAGCTCCCACAATTCTTGCAAAATAAACATAGTTCGCCTTTTTTATGGCCCAATATTCATAACTCTCACCCTTGAAGAAAGGAATTAAGGGTTGGGTTGAAGTAGCAGTGCCATTTACTGCCATTTGAAAGGTTTGCGTGAACCACTCTTCTTTCCCCCACTTTTTTTTTGTTCTCTCCTCTACTTGCCCAAATAATGGCTCTGATACCAGAATATGTTGGTTAATTAAGATAATTAAGAAACCAAAAAGACAGAAGAGAAAGTGAAGCTGTGTGTTTGTACTTCAATGAAGAAGAGAACAAAGCCTTTTATAGGCATTACATAACAACTGAACAGAAAAATAGCCTAAAAAATCTGCAACTAATCTATAGGAGATAATCTTTTATTTGCCACTTCTAACAGTAACATAAGTCCAGGAACTAAATCAGGAACTAAAGGCTCCACTAACTTAATTTTGAATCAAATCTTAACATAATGTGGTATGATGACCATTAGACAAAACAATGTTCATATTGTTGCATTTATAAGTGTGCACTTCTAAGCATTTGCTTGTGCAGTTCCTCATCTATTCTTTTGCAGGTATATGTGATTGGTGGGGAAGGTATAAAAGAAGAGCTACAGCTCGCTGGATACACAGCTCTTGGTGGCCCAGTATGTCCCTCCAAAATTTCGTAATTGATTTTGCTGTTTCTGTTTTTTTTTTTTTTTTTTTTTTTATTTTCTTCTTCTTTTTTTTTTTAAATTTTTTTCTTTTTTTTTTCTTCTTCTTCTTTTTTTTTTTTAAATTTTTTTCTTTAATTTCCTTCTCCTATTTTTTTTTTTTTTTTTTTTGGAGCTAATGAGATATTTGTTCAAGGAATTTGCTATTTTGTACTGCTAGATATTAGCAGCATGGTGAACAATCCTGCATGAACAATTGACAATAAAATGTTAACGTTTACTTACAATTAAGGAAGAACAGAAAGGATTAAAAGATGGAAGTATTAGTCTCCATATAGCTAGTAATTAACATTGAGTTGGAACCTGTCATGTTGCTTGTCATTCTTGGTGGTATTCTGTGGTGTGGTTGCTGTACATGCCAGTTCATTCAACCTCATTCTATCTCTTGAACATGCTGTTATTCCTATTGGTTTGGAACATGAGAAAGCTTTAGCAGTTTATTCTTGATTGGAAGTTCCTTGTAGCTTGTTTTTGGTTTCTTTTTGGCTGTCCTTGGAGAGAGTGAACCCTTTTCTTTTTGCTTTTGCTTTAACCAATAAAATCTATTACCATATTTTATTTATGCAACTATTGCAAAAATTTATTGCAGGAAGATAGTGAGAAAAGAGTTGAGCTGAAATCAAATTCCATGTTTGAACATGATAAGAGTGTAATGTAACCTCTTGGCCACAATTCATTTAAAAAATTTCTCCTTTTTCTGTTTGTGATTTATGATGATGCAACTTCTATCACAGGTTGGAGCAGTTGTGATTGGGTTAGATCCATATGTCAATTATTACAAGCTTCAGTAAGAAAAAGAAACTCTGACTTGCCTTTTTCCTTATCCTTTTGTGGTATTAGCTAAAGTGTGATGGAAGTCAGTAGAGCTATAAATAATCTGAGAGAGCTAATTCCTATTGAGCTTGAGTTTGGCTTATTAAAGGTATACTGGAGCTTGAAAAGCTGAGCTTGAGCTTGGCTCGGGTTTAGCTCATTTGGGTTGTAAATGAGCTCAAATGCGGCTCAATTAGAGTTTGTCGTTAAAAAAAAAAAAAATGTGGCTTGTTTATAGGATTGAACTCAAGTTCGGCTCTCGTATTAAATGAGTTTGATAAACAAGCTCGAGCTTGGCTTGTTAAGCTCATTGAATGGGATGAGTTAAATCGAACTTTTACAAAGCCAAGCCTCAAGCAGCTCGCCTCATTTACAACTTTAGAAGTCAGAGGAGATAGGTCTTAGCTTAGACTTTGAAAAGACAAAATGAGATTGTAAAGTAATGCAAAATTTTCAGGAATATCTATGTAGTATGAAATGGGTTCTTTAATATTTTTCTTAACCAGTGAGAGTTGTAAAATTCTGCATCTTAGCTGTATGTTTGTTACTCGGGTAGGTATGGAACCCTATGCATTCGTGAGAATCCAGGGTGTCTCTTTATCGCAACCAACCGTGATGCTGTGGGACATATGACTGATTTACAAGAGTGGCCTGGTGAGGAAGCTAACTTTCAGTTGTATTACATGCTTGATGGCCAGCCTCTAATTTCTTTTCTGGGTTTCAGGAGCGGGTTGTATGGTTGCTGCTGTTTGTGGTTCAACTGAGAGAGAGCCTGTTGTAGTTGGAAAACCATCAACCTTCATGATGGACTTTTTATTGAAGAAGTTAGTTAATTTTCATTTTGTCTCATCATTCTTAATTCTTTTTTATTATTTGCTTCTAGATTACATTTTCATAAATGCATTATACATTGGAGTCTACAATGTCTAATATATAACCACAGGGGTTATCATCCAAAATGAGTTGCAGGTTTTTTAAACTGATTGCGATATTGCCGGAAATGCTTTTGTCCTAACTAAACAATAATGAACCTCTGACTTCTTTTATGACATTTTTTACCCTCAATATGCAACTGCTATAGGATATATTTTGGAGGTTTTACCATGGTCTTAAACAGTAGCTATTCTATAACATATTGCCCATTTTCTAATAAGATTTCAGCCCGCCATATCTCTATCAGTCATTGTAGACAATATGAGAAATTGTTTCTACCTTATGGAATGTTCTTTTAGATTATTAATCATTTAACTCTGTTGCATATTTTAGTTGTTTTTTCTTTAATATTTATTGAATTATTATGTGTTGTTGATTTGAGTATTTTTTTTTTTCTAATTAATGACCTTGTAAAAATTCATGGTAGTGGCACCCTCAGATTGATTCATACCCACGGTTTTGTTTCTGTTACTGCCTCTTCAATTCTGTTATTCAAAACCCTGTATTTTGACATCTGCATTTTGTTCTGTTTATAAGATTTCAAGTCAGCACCTCAAAAATGTGTATGGTGGGGGATAGACTCGACACTGACATTTTATTTGGCCAAAATGCTGGCTGCAAAACTCTTCTTGTTCTTTCAGGTAAACTGATTTCTTTTGTTTATTTGATTTTTGTTTTCTTGAAAATGATGCTAATATAAATTCTAAAATTATAAACATTCATGATGCTTGGATCTGCAAAAAAATTGCAGGAGTGACAAATCAATCCACTCTGGAAGACCCCTCAAACAATATCCAACCAGATTATTATACGAGCAAGGTGTCTGATTTCCTCAACTTACTGGGACCGTGATCTCATTATTTCAATCCGAGACATTGTTTCAGACCAATTGACAAGTCCACTGGATCCACATATTTTCGTAGATTAATCGTTCATGGACTGTCATTTTGACAAAATTATTCCCATCAATTGAAATAAATTATGATCGTGTTATACTTGCATGTTTTCTTGCTTGCAAGGCTATCCCCTTCAGTTTAAATCTCTGTTTCTTTCTGGCAATTGTGGTATGTTAAAGCTTTATTGGCAAAAACGTCAGCTTTATTATAACAACTTAAAGCTTTTAAGTCATCGTATAGGAAAGTTTAATACATCATTGACAGTGATTTTCCAGGACAAAGACAGAACATAAAAGAAAATCTCTTGAAGTTTGCAGGCACTAATGGTTATATCTGGGTAAGGAACTTCATGTGTGTCCAATTCATCAATGGATATTAATTTATTGTTACTTCTTTATTTGATTTCTTGGCAGTGTAAAAGTGAATCCTTTGTTTTGTTTTGTTTTGTTTTTAATCTTTTATTTGTTAATTTAATCAATTAGTAGTTTTCTTAAAGTTATTAGGAAAAAAAAAGTCAATTGGAGGGCTTAATAAGAAATAAAGTGCAATTGCACGCCCACCTGGTACTTATTCTTTGCTTGTCATTACCAACAAGTGGTTGAGCACGTCGTTACTGAGACAAGTACGTAGTTGCTTTTTATTGACCGTTTGATCTCTCTTTTATTCTTTATGTTCAATTTGACCCCTCCAAAGTCCAAAAACCGCTTTTTTCTTTTTTTTTTTCAAGGGCCCAACTTAAGTAGTGTATTTTAAATTTATTATTATAAAATATAATAATACAATATTAAAATTTTAAATTTTTTTAAAAATAAAATATTTAAAATACATAATATAAAAATAAAAACTAAAAAAAAATCAATTTTAATGTATAGAAAAAAAAAAGAAATAGGAATAAACATTAACAGTTTTTAATTTTCATATATATTTTTTTAATTTTTAAATTGTTATTATTATGATGCAACGGTGGCTCCTTAAAAGGGCAGGGCAGGGCAGTGAAATGGAAACAGTGTCGTTTAAAAAAAAAAAGGGTTAATTGGGGGTTAATTAACCCTTGTGTCAGTTTTTGGATCTACGAATGATTTGTTAATTGTCTATTTTGACCCTGATTTTAATTGGAGTTCAATTAGTACTTACCTTTCAATTCGGAATGTCCTTTAAATCAAAATGGCGCAATCCATACAAAATGCATATGTAAGTATTTTTTTAAATGAATTACTCATTGAATGTTTAAGCCTTCACGGCTGGCATCGACTGACAAAGACTTTCTAGGTACAAAGATCACCACGTCTTCTGTCTGACTAATACCGCCTTTGTCCTTTGTGGACGTATAAATTTCTGGGCTTCCTCTGTTCCCCTGTACCCCAAAAAATTAATTTTCTTAATTTTGTCAGTTGACTCAGTTCAAAGCAAGAAAGTGAAAAACAAGAAGGGGATATTTATCACCTTTCTGCATTTCCAAACATAAAGATACCGATGAAGAACAAGATACGAGCAAGTAGCAGTGTTGCTCAGATACTACTTGTGGTTGCAGTCATTGCATTGATGTTGGCATATGCAGCGGCTAAAGGTGGAGGGCGCGGCGCAGGTGGCGGCGGTGGAGTGATTGCGGCTACTGGTGCTGGTGGGCGAGTCGTGCGTGGATCTGGTGGTAAAAGAGCTGCTTCCACTGCTGTTGATTGGGCTGCTGCTTCGAGTCTTGGATTCATTGAGCGGCTTATGCTTGTGGTTTTGGTTTTCTTTTTGGTTTAGTGGATGAAGATGTTCACAGATTGGATAAACAATATCTTTTCTGTTTATTTGCGTTATTATTTGCGTTATTATTATTATTTTTTTATGTGCATTAAGAACTAGTGTTTGTATTGTAGCCCCGTTATTTAAATTAGAATTCATATTAGAATTCATTTACAAATGAATTTATCATGTTTAGTATCCTACAATTTAAAATAAAGAATTAAATTAAATTTTACGTATGTTTAGACTAAATTTTTAAATAAAAATTCTTTTGTCTTTATTTCTTATAATGTCTTTAATATGATAATTTAACAAAAATAAATAATGAACACCAATTATATGTATTATGTACGATATAAATAATTAATTTCATATAAATAAGTACACTAATATTTCACGCTAATTAATTAATAGTAATATTAATTATAATAATTATTTTTAATTGTTGTAAAACATTTTGTTGATTTAAGTAATTAATAAAAATTAAGAATGTTACTATTATTTTTAATTACATTTAAAAATAATTGTTCATACTTAATTTTTATAGTTTCATAGTAATGATAACTAATACTATACTAGACTTCAAAAAAAAAAAAAAAAAAATAACTAATACTGATACTAGACCTTCAAAAAAAAAAAAAAAAAAAATAAGAAGTCATTCAAAAAAAAAAAAAAAAAAGAAGTCATTACTGGTTTGGGTTTTAAAAAAAATAAAAAGAAAAAAATATAAACCAACGTTATTATTGGATTGAAAAAAATAAGGTCGTTATAGTTTGGAATTTTCGAAAGAAAATAAACGAAAAGGCAAAAAAAAAAAAGTAAAAATAGTTGAGCTTATAGTGGTGGGTAATTTTGTCAATAAACTTTTCAATGATTAATTTCATGGAATTCGTTTACAAATTTCATAAATTTTAGTATAAACATACTCAATTCTATAGAATTCAATTGAGTACAATTCAAATCTATATATTTTTTTCATTCCAAACACAAAATTTTGGATTTTCAAATAAATTTTATAAAATTATGTTGAATTCATTTATTCCAAACTGACTCTTAAAGCTTAAATCTCCAAAATCCCTATTTGGAGAATGAAATCCTAATCCCAGTAAAGTTTGTGTGCTTCGCTTGATCATCTATCTTCTAAAATTTTTCCTTCTCTCTACTAATTGTAGTAGATAATTACATCTCTTCTTGATTCATAACATCTCTCTATCGTCTCTATTTTCTCCAAATTGTTTCTTCTCTTTATCAATTGCAATAAATCGTTATATTAGGAGGAGAAATGCGTTAAAGCCAAGAGAGAATGATGACAAGGTAGGAGTGAAGATGATAAAGGAAATCTAATTTTAGAAAAAAATGTTCTATATTGGATTCATGTTTTTTCTCTCTCATTAGAAGACTAATAGAAATGAATTATTTTTCAAGTTTTTCTTTTTTCTTTTTATTTATATTTTATTTTCCAAGTTTTTATTTTTTATTTTTTCTTTTTATTTTTCTTTCAAGGGCATAATTGTCTTGATATTTCTTTTCCAGTTTTTACACTGACTATGTATAAATTATATTCCTAATTTTCTTTTCTTGGTTCTTCGTTTTTTTATAAATTAATTTCTTGATAATTTTAGTGTTCTAAAACCTTCTCTTTTCTTCTTCTCCTTTACAATTTCTTTCAAATTAAAGATATATTACAATTTTATATTAAAATTCTGTAATTGAAAAAAGAAAAGAAAAAAAATTATATAACTTTTCTCATCCTTTTTTCTTGGTTTTGGCCATAATTTGAGCTTTATTAATTTTTTTGTTACCATATATATTTTTGTTAATGATATAAAAGAAAAAAAATGGAAAGTCTTGTTATAAAAAAATAAAAATTGATTTAATTCTTGAAAATTTGTCTATTTCCATTCAATAATGGCATGATAATTATTTATTTGATATTCATCTAAATAATTATTATAACAATAAAGAAAAAAATGTGTCATAGAATATATGTATATATATATATATATATAAGAAGGGAACATATAATAATGCGCAAATGTGTTTTTATGCTTACCACGCACATTGACCTATTGAGAGATTATAGAGATTTATAACCCAAAAATTAAAAAATGAGCTTTTTGTACATATGCTAAATGTTCAAGGTTGAAATTGAACCTTTTTCCCAAGAAAATTTAATAATAAATTATCAAAGATTACCATTCTAAATAATTATTATAACAATAAAGAAAAAAATGTGTCATAGAATATATGTATATATATATATATATATAAGAAGGGAACATATAATAATGCGCAAATGTGTTTTTATGCTTACCACGCACATTGACCTATTGAGAGATTATAGAGATTTATAACCCAAAAATTAAAAAATGAGCTTTTTGTACATATGCTAAATGTTCAAGGTTGAAATTGAACCTTTTTCCCAAGAAAATTTAATAATAAATTATCAAAGATTACCATTGATTAATTGGTAATAAAATTTAATTGGTAATAAAATTTTATTACTATCACTAATAAAATTTACTATCACTAGTTTGTTGATATTTACTAATTGACTTCAAAAATAATTCAAAATTTTTATGTGGAATAAAAATTTAGCAATAAAAATTGCTTTCGCTAATGCCAAAATTTTGTTTTTAAGTATCATTTTGTTTTCACTTTATGTCTCATTCATTTTTTTCTTTTACTTTTTTTAGTTATCTTCTCCATCCTTCTTTTCTTCTTCTTTCTTCATCATCATCTTATTCTTCTTTTTCTATTATTTTCTTTCTTTCTTTTCCTCCTCCTCTTCTTCTTTCTTTATCATTGTCTTGTTCTTCCTTTTCTATTACTCTCTTTCTTTCTTTTCCTCCTCTTTCTCCTTCGTTTTGGTTTGACTTTTCATATTTTCTCTTTTTTTTTTCTTCCTCTTCTCTTTTTTATTCTCAAATATTTTTTACTTCTGTTTATTTTTTGAGAAGAACTTCTATTTATTTTTTCTTCATATTTTCTTCTTTTTTTATTTTTCATTTATATTTTTAATTAATTTTCTTTATTTAGTCTTGTTATTAGAGTTTAATTAGTTTAATTTATTAAAGTATGATTTGTATATTAATTAAAAATAAAAAACCAAAAATTACTATTTTGCCAATGTTATTGACTATTTCTCCATCACTTGATCAAATAATTTAATTTAAAAAAAAAATTAAAAGTAAATCTAATGAGTGTTTTCAACATAATACCAATAAAATCACCAACAAAATACCAATAGATTACATACAAATATTACCAATAAAATTAATGAAAATTTTCTAAAAAATTTGAATTCAACTTTACTAACAGAAACACTGGATTTATTGACAAATTTTTCATTGCTAAATCGCTGATGTCAGAATTACTAATCAAAAAAAAAATTGCAACAAAGACTTTACCGATAATAAAATTCTGTCAATATTTTATAGATAATTGTAATTAGGGAAAATTACAATACGACTCCTCTAGTTTGCAAAATACAGTTAGTCAGTCCTTGTCTTTTCAGAAATATACTGGAATTTTCCTACATTTTTATTCTGTTAGACTTTGCGAGAAGGTACTGTTTGTTTTTGTGAACTTGTAGAAAGTGGAAGTTTTTAATTTTTATTTCAAATAAATTGATGATATAAATGTATTCAACTTTCAAAATACTTGATT